CTGGACTCGAACCGCTGTTGCTCAGAGCTCAAACTCTTGAGCGAGCTCTTAACCAACCGAGCCACTCGGCCGGCCCCTTCAATATTTTTAAACAATATGCTAATACTGTTACTTCTCATTTGTTGGTTTTAGACATTATATTTTGACTTCCTGGCAGATATTAATATAATTTTCATTTCACAGGTATGGAGGCTGAGGTCCAGAGGAGTGAAATGACTGTATAAGGTCCTGCAGAGTCTTGGTCAAATTCAGATATTCCCATGCCAAATTTCACACTCTCCCCACCACAGACTCTATCAGTATTACTTATTAATCAGTCAGCAACACTCATTACACTCTCTTTATAGTTCATACCTATTTATCATCACAAATTTACAGAACAAAGTAAAAAATTCAAACCATTTACCAAAAACATTGCTCTAGGACAATGAAGACACTTCCTAGTTTAGTCTCTTATTTCCAGGTAAAACAACCTCATGATACCCACTAACTACACTTTTTATTCAACACTTGACAAGTCTTTATGCATTGTGGGAAGTACAAACTAAAAGACTCTCCCTGTTTTCAAGGAGCTTAAAATAATCAGCTCCTTGCAGCAGTTGGGACATTTAACTAAGAAATACTGTTCTGCCTTGTGGAGATCGCAAGCCAACCAGGGAGAAACGGTGTTAACATTAGTGAAGGAGTTTAGGACATGCCGCCTCAGCATATCAATTATTTTGAGTTGAAGGCATTTGGAAAACCACAGGTGCAAAAAAGACACTCTGGTTCCCATTTTTTCTTCCTGAAAGCAGAAGATGAGACTCTCATGTGACAATAGACCTCCTTGTGCCAGGAGGAAAGAGTCGGACCTGGCAGACTTTGTACAAAGAGACCTGGTTAAAAAGCACTCTTATCTTCCTTTAGTCTCCCCATTTTATTTTCGTTACTTGTTACAATTGCTACTCTTTGTTCAAACCAGTATATGAGCATGTAAGTTTTGCCACTTCTTTGGGTCTTCATTTCCTTAAGAAGGCTCCCAGGTCACATAATACTTGTGTTAAATAAACATGTTTGCTTTTCTCCTCTTAATCTTTTCAGGTCAATTTAATTCTCAGGCACAGCCAGAGACCCTGAGAAGATAGAGGTGAAGTTTTGCTTCCCTGACATTAGCAACAGTCACTCATGGCTTTTCTGATCCTGTTTCCAAAAGCAGCTCTCCCTAGAATTAGCCCGATCGCTATAAATAACAAAGAAATGGCTGCCAGGTTTATTTTTTCAAGGGTCACTTACATCTTCAATCTCATCTTACTAAATAACATACTGATTTCCTATGAACATATCCCTTTATTTCGTTGATAGCACGTATTCCAGCGTTTTCTTATCCTTTGTTTACTTATTGTCTGTCTCCTTTTAATCCTGTGAATTCCATGATAGGACCTTCTCATCTTGGTCACTGCTTGAATCCCTGGCACATAGCAGGTGCTCAATAAATGCTAAGTATTATCCTAACTTCACCCTATAAGATGCTCCTTCCTTTCTTTGTATATGGTAATGGATTAATACTTTACATTTATGAACAGTACCGTTTATGCTATGATTTCAGCCTTTTTATTCCTACTTTAATCGTATTCCCCACGTCAAACTTTCACCAGACGGTGAATGGAAAATTTCATGTACAGCAGGGCTGTTCACATTATTTTCACCTGTTTCCTATTCGTTAAAGGGGGGCTGGTGGTGCTAAATTGAAGTTATTGGACATAAGGAAGGCATTTGGGGCATTAGATAAATGTATTTTTCAACATCCACTAGAGGCTGGGTTCGGGGCACGTTCTGGGGAGGTCGGGCAGAAACAGCGAATTTCCCCTCCGGAGCCCCCTAAAGGTTAGACCGGCGAGACGGGAGAAGAGTGGGCGAGCCCTGACATTTGAGGCAGCGCTGGCGCAAGCGGGAAATTCTGACGCCGAGGTCTGCGAGGGGCCCGGGGGACAGCTTCGCCTCTGCTCCCACCCCGTGTGAAATGCGCCCCCCCCAGCGTGGGCCACCTCGCACAACTCCCACCACCAGCAGGGCGCCGGAAGCGGGCTGCCCGACCCGCAGTGACGTAGGCCTGCTCCAGCGGCCGGCGCGCGGCCCCCGGCAGCGCCCGGGATTGGCCGAGCCGGGTCGCAGTAGGCGGGGCGTGTCGCGAGGGGGCGGGGCGTGTCGCGAGGGGGCGGGGCGTGTCCCCCGAGGCCTGAGCGCCGCTGGGGATCCTGCGGTCGCTGGCTCGGGTCAAGTTCACCGCAACCGGCAGTGGCCTGTGTCCCGAGCGCCCGCTGCGCCGCTTCCTTGGGGGCGACGAAAAGGATCTGAACGACCCGGCCAGTCATGTTGGGGCCGCCGCTGCCCTGGGGTCCCTGCTGCGTTGGTGTCGCCCCAGTTCGGCGACCCCGCAAACTTCTGGGGAGGGTCGCGGCAAGAAGTCGACCCTTCCCACCTCTTCTTCCCAAACTGGTTCTGGTATACGAAGCCCAAGGATGCCTAAGGGGG